GCCGTTGCTGCGTCAAGCAGCTGTAGGGTTATCAGCTCATCAGTATGTCGCCCTGAGCTGTGTATGCCAGCAAGGTAGTGGCGTCGAAACTCTGCTTCACTGTAAAAAATTTACGCGAAATGCAGCACTTTCCTCCTTGGGGTGAGCTTTAGACGCTATCACATGGAGCAGTCTAAATGTCGGTGCTCCAGGCTGACAGCATATCATCTCGCATATGCACATCTTCTTTGAACTTAAGTGTAAAATTTCATCAAAAATGATTGAGCAAACTTTGAAGTCATTTGGTTCGATAACTCGCGAAATGTTCTGTTTTCACAAGAAAATGCCCGTAACGCAAGATCCGCCCACACAGTTCCTTAAGGGCACATTTTAGGTTATAAATTAGCATTTTCTATCAAAGATTAATTGGCAGAGGTAGTTTAAGTAGTGAAAATCATAAACCCCATAGTCCCAGCATTTTGTTAGTGGAAAAATGGGATAGGCAGTGAAGGCAATTTGTAGAAGTAACAATAAAGTGGAAAAATGTCGTTAAGTTTGTTTCCCGCGGCCGCTGGGAGCAAGTTGTTCAAATGTTAATTGAAAGTGTGCACAGAGCTTCGGGCCACGGACTCTATTAATGTGACTCCAGAACGGTAAGTTGGATCTCAGGTAAGGTGAAGTAGGCGGTCTCCTAACCACAATTTCTATTTTTTTGAAATTTCTAGAAGCCTGCATTTTAATAATCGAGTTTTCCACAATGCATTGTCTATAATACAGATATAAATCAACACCTTTGGTTAATACAGTAAAATAAAAATGAATACAGCAGTGATTTAATTATATTCCACTACCAATCCTAATTCCCCACCCATAAAACTCCTATGACCACTGTTTCCGTTGGACGAAATGCTGGAACTAGGGATATATAAGATGTACTACTTAAAATACTGTTGCCGATTGATTTTCAATGTACACTCGCACTTAAATGAGATGCAATATTTTTAATCACTTGAATAAGTCTCATTATAAAGGTACATTACAAAGGGGCACATGCAACGACTCAAACAATGAAGAGTAATGCAAACAAACATCAAAAATCTACAAAAATCAGTTGTTCTAGTGCAAACAAAGAACTTTTACGATTTGGTTGATTGTACAGTTGTGTTAGAAACAGCATGGAGTCTATGAGACATAAGGATAGTCAGGTTGTCCCTAGTGTTGCGTTGAATTTTTCATTAAGCCAACTTTCAAAGGATTGTGCCGTGGGCTGTGTGTAGCAGTTAAACGTAGATCCGAGGTGGTCTACGAAGACAATTGCTGTTATCTAAAAAATCTTACACTTGCAAGCATTATCATATTCACATCTCTCTATGCCACGAACAGGAGCACTACCCTATTAAATTAGTGTATCTATTCTGCTTCACTATTTGCCGTTGTTGCCGAAACCGTCCGTCAACATATTGATAGACATGTTGCTGTTGATTGTGAATGTGTTCAACCGCCAGTGTGGCCCCTCTCCAAATTTAATAGTCAGCCAAACCATAAAACAAAGATGGTTATTAAAGGTTGCCGTCGGCGCAGTATGCTCTTTTCGGGAGCCTTTCGACATATAAGCGTCTGGATTCACTTCACAGGTTTATTTTAAAGCGGGACTTTATCACCTGAATTATGGACCGTCTGGCCTGAAGAAAACGCACTGACCATGTCATGTTGTTCATGAAGTTTAAATTCCTATGTATATTTCCTATTTCTGATCAGAAGACAAATCGACGGATGTAAACAGTCTATGGTCTACAGTGACAACTAACTATTCTTTTTCAGTGACGGCGGCTAATAGTGTCGTCTTTTTCACTCGTGGAGTGTTTCTTCAGAGATGCTTATTTTCGGATACTTTCTTATAATTAATAATAAATACTCAGTAGGCAGATACATAATGTGTACGCCATTTTTCTTTACACTGCGGAGACGCAGTATAGAGTCAAGTACGGTTATTACTGAATTTAAAATCTGGATCTACCCTATTGTTTTCAAAAAAACGAGTTGGTATTACAAGACCTCACCAGTGTTCATGGACATAAAATCCTACTTCCGTTTGTTTCAAAGGTTCCCCGTTTATAGTAAAGTTTTGTTTGCAGCACAGTGAGCACGAACAAGAGGTTTTTTCCCTGCAATATGCAGTAAGGCAGGAAATTACATAAATATTTGGAAAGCTCACATGTCGCCAAATCTGGCATGTGTTCCTTGCGTAAATCAGACAAGCAAAGAGCCATTCATTAATAAACAGCTTACCATGTTTCAAATAAATAAACATATAAAACAACATCCAAAATCTGAGCCGTGTTATTCTTTTAGCATTTCATTTCGACAATTCATGTGTAAGCTGCTTATTGCATAGTCGTAGGGACAGGAAATGGAGCTGCTAAAATTGCCTGCACTATTTGTTGAGCAAACGGTTCGACTTAAAACCACAAGCTCATGAGTTCAGACAAATGGTACTGCAATCATAAACTCGCCATGAAAGTTACTTCATTACTTTGTGACTGTTTTAGCTGTGCTATCAACAGAAGAATCATTTCCAGTAAGCAGCATTCTCCTTTGGGGAAATTCCGTTATCCATTGAGATTAAGACCAGCTAAAATGGAAAATAGTTTGGGCTACAAATATTGAGCCCTGTAGTTTGTGATTGGTTTCCGATTATCGTATTCAAAGCAAAAGTGTTGGCACTCATAAACATTCATTGAATTTTTAAAATCTTAAATCTTGATTCTGGTTTACTCTATGGACTAGATTTCCAATAAAGTTAACTTTAGACGTTACGCTTTTTGCGGACTAAAACATTGAAATTTTTCAATTTTTTGCCTGCCATACGTTATACTATTTAATAATATGATAATTTTTAAAATAACGTTTAACTTTCTGTCGCACTTATTATCGCGGGGGACTATAAAACTTACTTAGTGTCAGTTTCCATTGAACATGTTTTTTATTTAGATTTTCAGTTTAAGCCGCGAAGTTGGTGGAAGACTGACATGCCGTAAAGGAATAAGGAACGCAGACATTCGTTGGTTTCCGCCATTTTTGTCTGTAAACTCACTTCATGGAATAGCTAATGGACAAAACGTGCACAGGCAATCAAAAAATATTAAAATTATGTTCTATATACCAAATTCATATTTTTTGGAATCCAATCGCAGACTCTGTACATCTTAGAACAAGCGGAGTGTTTCCAGATCAAATTACTGCAGCGCAATGTCCACTGTTAATTGAAAGATGCCCAGCTTCTTCAAATACATAGGCAGCAGACGATAAAGAGACGAATGAGCTTCTCCAGTCAATTATCCTCACTCATATTAAGCAAATGTTCAATTAGCTTAATTGAGCCAGAACATTCCATTACATTGTCCTCTTAATGCATTACCTTGCAAGATTTTGTAGGGAGGAGAAAGGAGCTAGCAATTCACTCATGTAAGATTGACGTTAAATAGTCGAAAACATTGCAGTTTGGAATGTAGGCCAAGGCAAACGTGAATGGCAGAATCGTTGGTTTGAGCGGTTAAAAAAGAGAAAAAAATTGGGACGGGAGGATGCAGAAAGTACCACAAACTACTAAGGACTAAGGATCGGGCTAGATAACCAAAACTGATCGTTTATTCACTAATCTTTTCTAAAATCGCGAAATAGGAATTTTGGGAATCGAAGATAACCATATGATAATAAACGTAGCCAACAACCTAGTTTAAAGGGGCTGAAAGATAAACATAATGATTATTGCCGTAGAGACAGTTACAGTTCGCAATTTTGCTTGCTTGTTGTCGTAAGAAAAGGACTTGCGTAACTATAAATGCACTGACTACTGGTTTTCTGGACAAAATAATCTAAACCATACATTTGGGCTCGAATCGCACTGAAGCCGACGGGTTTTTTACAACGGGAGTAACATTAATTGTGCGAATCTGCCTAAAAGTTCTTATATTTTTAGGAATGGTTATGTTATCACTATTCCATTAATATTCATCAGTGTCCTGCTACAGCAACTTTTCCATATATATGGCACTTTCAACCTGTTCTAGGAAAATATAAGGATATGAGGATATATCAGATGCTTCATTTTAATAAAATTCTACTGTAAATCAGCGGCGAGAGCATTCTTTTGTAAGCGCCATTATTTGGAGGACTTTACTAGCTCTAACTAGAAGATGTCAATAACAGTTCCCTTAATTAAGGACGTTTCTTAAAGACTTTTGACGTCTATCGCATTTCCATTGTTAGCATTTTATTTTTCTTAAAAATTAATTCCTAACTCGGAGCATATCATTTCTTTCAAAGCTCTGCTAGTATAGACGACAAGTGCCTGGAGGCGTTCTTACGAACAGAACCTATCACAGCTGTGTTAAGCAGCGGCAGAATACCGGTGAAACACGTGTCACGACTGCTAGCTAACACCTGTGCTGCTTGTATTGTCACTAAACACATTTCGGTCTTGTAACCATGCCATGAACGATTAATCTTTTCTGAGCAATTCAGCAGAAATAATAACCACCCAACTAGACCATGACGTGAACGCTAGCTTCCTTCCAACTTAATACGGCCGCACCACTAGCAGGGAATTCTCTCAATTTGTCACAGGTATATGCCTTTACCGCAACTGCGTTAGATGTTGCAAGTGAGTACAGCTATTACCTGGTTTGGCAGATCTGTAACCTCCAAGTTACAACAATCGCATTATCCTCTTTTCCTAAATTTTTATCCTGATTTACGCTCTTCGTTGTTTCCAATAAAAGTGTTGTCACATCCGTTTTAGGCGGCCAAGCAGCTGTTGCCTCTACAAGTCACCTGTCAAACAACTAGGATGCTGCTAAAGATACAAACATAAATGTCGTCAAGCTAAAACACCTACATATGTACCCTTACCTAGACATGTGTTGCTAAACGCGGCACTCCTATTCGACCCATCCCGTCTACAGGTCATATTCTGTCAGGCAAAATTCTCGCTCCCTCTAATAAGCTTTATCTTGTTGCAGCAAAAATTCGGAGTGACAGTTGGCAAACAGTTTGGTCCGAACGCAGGCATCGTCATGATCTCAATCGAGGAGCCACGGTCACAAGACGACGCCGACGCGGTCACGGTCGTAGGAGGCGTCTGTCCGGATCGTTTCTTCGGGCCTGAGGCAAATGTCGCCTGCAGGTCCATCGGCTACCCGTATGCGTCGGCATACAAGAAGGTGAGCCGGCACATTTTGCCACCCGTATAGCCGGAAAGGGTGGACAGCTGGCATTGATTTATATGTTTGTGTCGCTTCTGTGTAGGTGCATAAAACATCTGACCTAATGTGCACAAAAAATCCACCTGAGATAAAAGACATTTATAATAAATATATTGGTAGGAATGATGACGTTCGGTGTACGGAGGGAGTCGACAATATAATCCAGCGATTTGATATCTCACCATATTCGAAAAAAAATTCATGAAATATTATGGTTACCATAAGGTCAGGCTGTCTGGAAATGGGTTAGCCGATCCAAACGGATGAACGTAGCATAAGCGTTTAAACTGTTCGGTTTAAAGTACTTTTGTAACGCAACATCTATATTTTGTCTATTCATATCTCAAGGTTGCTGCACCCAATAATAGGCCTGTATGATTTCATCGTAAACGTCCGAAAGAGGAGGATTTAGCATCGCTTCTCCATGTCAACGTGTTTGCCTTATCTGGACGATTAAGTAAGCTATGGGTTATATTTACGTGAAATTCACCCATTCGTAACTGGAACAAAGGCTTCCATGTTATGTTTCAACATCCCGTTAAAACACTCAATCCTGAAATCACATATAGGAAAAATGGGTCAATTGTACTGACTTATATTATTTCCAATCAGTCATAACGGATTAAGCATTAAAAAATAAACGCTCTTATTTGCCCGAAAGGTTGAGGTTCGTTGTGACTGTTACAATGTTTCAATTATTAATGGATCGTTCTTTTCAGGGATTATCTTCAAATGAAATTCAGTATTCTGAATCAAGAGGTAAAATGCTTGTGACAAAGCCACAAGTTCAAAGCATTTACTTTGCGTATAACCGTTATTCTCCTACAGCTACATGAAGGACACGCACTGACGTTGCTTATTTCCTGTAAAATTATTCCTACTTCGCAGCTCATTTACTAGGCTACTGTGAGGGGAGGGACAGTAGATTAAGATTCTTCGTTTACATCCAGATGCGATTATCTATTAATCATGTCGATTCGCTAAAGCGCATGAGGATGTTGTAGCCCAAATATTGTCGTCTGGCATTGGAATATTTAAGTCTTCTGCGGCATTTCACCGACTACAGAACACCCTGCACATGACAATGGTCAGGTCTATTTTCTTGTCTCGATCTGATCCGTCGTGCGTATTTAATGACGGTTTGACATCGGTCCGCTATTTGACGGATGATGATATGCACACATTACATTCTTCCGCGATCCGTAGGTTCTTCTGAAGGATCCTGCTCTAACGAAAAAGGCTCCCTTGCTTATAATTGGACACTGCTTTGGCAACGAAACGGACCTCAACGAGTGTACCACTTTCGCGTCATCCGATGGCGTGCAGTGTAAGAACCAGTCAGTGGGAATCGCCGTGTACTGCGCTGAAGGTAAGACCAACTTGTTCGCCTACCACTTAAACGTTAATCAAAATTCTGATATGCGTTCTCGATTTGAAAGATCTGCATACGTAGATTTTAACATCGGTTATCATACGGCATCATTCCGAGTTATATCATTCACAATTAGATGCCGGATTCTCAATTAGTGTTTATCGATATTAAGCGGCTACTAGAGTGCACTGAATTTCCTCGTTGACTAGCGATGCTATTTTAAGTCATGTATAGATTATCAGTTCGAAAAATGCATTTACCATGCGCTTTAATGTTTTTCCGGGGGCGGTGTTTGTAGGTGAATTGAAAGAACATCGTAAAGAAGGATAGACGATCGCTGAAAAAGCTGTATTAGCCCGACATGTTGGATCCCCATCCGGGTTTATTGTCATTGATAAAGTCAGATAAATGGTATTGGATTGCCAATTTCATTGCTCCACTTCCCCTTGCAGACATTCGGTATGACTGGTGTCTTGTTTCGATGCGACCGAAGTATCAAGTGCATTAAGCATCCTGCAGATTTAATCTTCCTTTAAAGCACCTATTATGACTGACCTATGGGAAACCGTTTACAGAAAACGCACACTTTAGCACACATAAACGTTTTATCAGCAATAAGGACCCTTGTGTTGTCAAACTCATAAACGTTATCCCTGATTGCTCAGATTTTCAAAAATAGCGTTTGACATATTGTTGACTAGGGTGGGTACGTTTGGGCAGCCAAGCATGCAACTTCCTGCATCAGGAAAAACCCCTATACATTACGAGCAACTAGACCGCTAGCCGTCGGTTTTTAAACACAAAAAGTGTGCGATCCCTTAAATTTTCTTGGAACTTGTGGAGTAAATCATTCGAAACAAAACCATTTATAATCAGTCCGAAGGTTGTCATATAATCACTTTGGTGGATCATTTAGTTAACAAAAATGGCTCACTCTTCTTGGTAGTGTGGCATTTACAAGCTTTTGTGAACCAGTTAATTTCACTGACCAATAATCGTGGAAATCGCTGTTACATCTGTCTAAAAATCCTACTTTTAAATGCTATGTAAAAGTGGGACGAGTGAAAGTACGTCTGCCTTGTAAAGTACTGATGGGCGTTGTTTTATATGTCGAGGTTTAATTCAACGCCTATTCCTTGGCACTGTTCACATTCTTTTAAACGTGGCTTAAAACATCTCTAACGTGCAGAAAATATCAATAAGGTATATTTAAGTACACTCTTTTAAGCGACCAGAATTCTGTGGCCAGGTGAGGACGTTATGCTCGAATTCCTAGTTGGCCCCAGCTTCTAAAACCGTAGACAATTGCTACAACGCTCCTTCAGTTGGCGTGAAACCTAAGACTGCTTCTTAACGAATGTGGTAGTCAACGTCGCGTTCTATGGACGAGCTGTTGTCTATCAAACTAAAAAAAACATTGACTGTCCCCAGGACTGCGGGAAAAACCTGCTTCTTGACAAAAAGTGAGGGTAGGAGCTTTTACAGAGCCAAACTGACGTCAGTGGTCAGTTGTGTGCCCTCGGAATACTCCCCTTAGAGGGAGTTAATAAAACTTCTCTACTTTTTGCTCTAGCTGCCTGTCGTCCAACACAAAAAAACGTTTGGATAGGCTGGAGTTCTATGCACTCTTGACTCTTTAGTCATCAACTTTATCAAGAATTTTGTCACGCAGATTATACCCACGCACCTGACTATTTTGGACGCGCGCAAAAACCGATGACTATTTGAAGTTCGGAATTCGGCTGCTTTAAGTCTGCCTTCGAAAAGCTCATGTGTTTAATATGTAGTGGTATGCTTCTGACTAGGTAGTACCACAACGAATCGGCAAATGTACGTGATCTGATAAAACAGAAGAATACTGGCGCTCTGGCATTACGTCGTTCTAAAAAGGTATATTTTGAATGAATCACTTTCGAAACACGGAAATCCAGTGCAGGGTTTGCGTATCCTATATCTTTCCGGAGTTTATTATTTGGTCTGATAGCGTCGGCAACGCACAGCGCCATAATGTACCTGCGACTCGTTTGAAGCAACTCCGTATGCGGCAGTTTTATGCACCCGGAAAAAGACTACATCTGTAAATAACCAATAAAGCTTTAGTTTCGAGGATGTGCACACTAGCCTATTAGCTTAACAGGTTCAGCCTATAAATTTAGTTTTAGAAAATGAAAAAAAACATTTTGCAGTTTTCTGAGCAATAGATGAATGTCAGGAGGAAGTAGTTTTAGTTATTGATCCAACCAAAGCGAAAATACAAGGAATTGGGGGACAGGCTGCCTAAGGAACAGAAATATTATTTACCCGGCGTTTCGAATCTACATCCCTGGTCATGTACGAAAACCACAATAAATAATTGTAATGAACACACCGAAAGGGCCGGTAGTTATAGGATGCAATTGTTATGTGACCACAAACACTAGGTGTGAAATGCCAATTAAAATTCGCTAGGACCTTAAGTGAAATTGCAATATTTATTAGCATACACCATAGATCATAGATATCTGAGGTTAAATATAGTACATAGGGTGACATCGCATGAAACGCTGACATTATGAAATGTCCTGCCAACGAAAGAATAGTACTTCTTATTAAGTTGGTTTGGCAGATTTGCTTGATTTGAGTTGACCTAGAGTTT